AAAGTGAACATGGGATAATAGCCACAGACACACTACTCCAAATGAATGCTAATGTAGTCAGCTAGCCTGCAAACTACCAGCTATCAGCAAGTAAAGATATTTTAAATTTTGAGGTGTAATCAACCAATCAAAAACCACGGAAATACACTAATACATACCCATATACACACATGCATACGCATCTTTGTACATACTTGTAAAAACACCTTAATAAATAATGATTTACACAACTAAAAGAAAACAGAAAAATTTAAAGAATTTTAAAAAAGGCGATCAGTGTCCTACCAGGAGACAATTGTACCAGTGTTTCCAGATTTGTAGTGTGTAGTATTTACTTAGCCATATGTTTGGCATAATTATTAGAGTTGAATGAAGGTCTTTACTGCTGCAGCCACAAACATCTCAGTTGCACTACACCATCTTGGTCTCTGGAGTAATATGCTCATTGCATCATTAAATGCTACTTTAAAATTTTATCCAGACTTGCTTTTCTATAATTCAGCCAAAAGTGTGCAGTATAGAATGGTGAAAATGTGCTTTTAACAAAGATAGCTTTACACCATCCGTACACGCCTTAATGTCACGTAAAAGAATATTAGCTTGTCCTCATACAGCATTGCCTATATCTTTATCATCTGTCATGTGATCTGTGATAACCTGGATATTTTACCTTATTACGGACACCAAGCTTATTGTTAGCCAGTTTAAAGTCAGGATTATTTAAACATGTGTCATCTTTAGTTCTACAGATCATGATGAAAAGAACTGGTGACAAAATACCCCGTCTGACTCCATTGCTAACTACAAGTAAATCTGAGACACAAATTAGCTAACTAGCTAAAGCAGTCAGCTAGCTCCTCTTTTATCATTCGCTTGAATGCTATGGATTATGTCTTAATTTTTTTTTCATTTATAATTTTACAGTTTTCTGCCCATTGTGGTTTAATTCTATCTAGGTTTAGTTCTACCTCTGAAAATAAATTCACATTTAATTTAGAAAAGCATTCCTTAGCTGTGAGAATTAACAACATGCTGAGGTAATTTGTTTGAAAGCTGTTGTTCAGTGACTGATGCATTACATCTGCAGCAAGATTAGTTGTGTGACAGAAAGTTATAATTATGTATACTTAAACATGTCTATTTTTGGCCCAAGTGTCTGTCATTTACACAGGCACACAGACTTCGCATGAATAAAACAGCATTTACAATGTAGAGACTGACAAGGCAGCTTGACAGGTGATTGAAAGGTGTGACAGCATGACAGAAGGAGGAGATGGGAGAAGATTTACAAAGATTGATGGATCAGGAAAGGAGCCGTGACTTGACATTGGACTGACATGATGAGTGCGGCCTCTGAGGACAGCATTTGAACAGGATTTAAAGGAGTAGTCAGAATGATTTTTAGTGTAACATTCCATAAAATGACAGGATTTTATAGAGTTGTTCATCAGTTCCAATGGCTCAAACACTACTTGGCTTGCTGCTGAGCCATGTCACTTTCAACATGCTCCACCAAAGCATGTTTAAAATAAAACAAATCGAGTTTCAAAATACTTGATTATCCAGTATAGTATTATATAATACAGTACAAGATTTTATGGATTTATTGATGTTGTTTTCAGGGCCCTACATAAAATGAAAATAAAAATGCATCAGCTACTAATAATATCTGAACCAGTTTTAATCATAATGATCTAATTTAAAATTACATTTTGCTTGATGAGTCATCTTAATTTCTAAATGGCTCATTTTGTGTGAGCAGATGGAAGAACATGCAATCAAGGTTGATAAAGGACAAGAATTTAATCCAGAGAAAAGCTACTTACTCCGGTCACATCAGTCTCTTAAAAGTGATTTATCACTGAATAACCTGGTCACCTGGTTCGCCAACACATTCTCACTCATTACTCATCACATATGGACATTTATCATATGGTTAGACTTTTAAAATAAAACACATGGATAACGTTGTGAAATGGTGACAGTTTGGTATGGTTTAGGCACCAAAACTACATGGTTAGGTTTACAAAAAGATCATCATGGTTTGGGTTTAAATAAGTACTAGTTCGCAAGTTACTTAAGTTACGTTAGTTAAAGCTGTAGGCAATTAATTTGTCTTTACATCCCGACAGCAATCAATAAATCAAATCTCTGACACCCAAATGAAAAAATTCCAGTATCTGTGGCTATCACAGGACTTTAATAAGCTACCTGTCTGCTCGTCCAACATTGCCTACCCCAGCTTTAAGTAAGTTATGTAAATAACGTACGGTATGTAGCTTAAGTTATAAAGAATCAATGTTTCACACAGGAAACAAACACCAGTCTTCTGGGTAAAAGTCTGGTCTCTGACCCATCCAACCCCAGCCTCCTCTGTACGCAGACCATTGAGTTATTTATACTAGGTCTACTTGTACGTTGCGCTAAAGGTCTACTCAGTGCTTTAAAAAGTAAAGCCCAGGGGTCTTGACCAAGCATCCATATGTGATGACTTCGGAGTGAGACCGGGTTTGGTTTTCATCCAAATCACTGAGCATAAGATGGATTAAGCCTCCAAAAGTCATTTTGTAATGCTCAGTAAGGATAATGTAATGCTTAATAAGTCTCAAAGTGCCAAACATAGTTTTAAACACTACCGGTTTCTACCACCCGACCTCAACATCAGCATTCCCAGGACACTACCTAATCCAAACAATCAAAGGTAGTTTCATCCTGTGAAATTATGAGCGTGTTTGCCTGCAATTAGTTTGGTGTGAACCAACTCTATTAGCATGGCTCAGTGATTTAGCTTCTCTTTCCTCCCAACAGATCTCTTGATCCGTGTTGTGTGCATAATTAACCATCAATGATTAGCTTCTCGGCTGAAGTGGAGAACACCAGTAAGCCAGGGGCTCTGGCGCGCCTTTATTTCAAGGACCCGTAAATGGATCTGCAATAGACCACTGACCCATGTTTGATCCGATTCTGTTCAGAGGAATCCTAACTGAGAAGTCAGCTATGGTAGATATGACCTTTTGGCCTGCGTTCAGATAGGGTGGTCAGATAGGTTTTCACAATTTATTAGCCTTTCTGGGTGGCCACTGTGTCAGATTAGGTGATCATGAGGACGAATGTTTATGTTCCAGTGACAAAGCCCTCTATAGCGGCTGTAGTCGTAATTATGATGGGAGGAAAGGGGGTAGTTGGGTGAATTTTACATGTTGACACACTATTTGAAAAAAAATGAGCAACTGTTGTGCCTGGGCAGGCTGTTATCATGTTTATCATCCTGGCATTATGCATTTTTAAGTTGTGAGTTAATTAAGCAATATGGAAAGTATCATGTCACCACGTTTCCTTCATTTTAAAAAATATAGAACTCTATCAGTGTCCTAGGGGTCTACAGCCTAGTTGAAGAAATACAACACTGAGTCATGCCAGCTTTGTTAAAAGGAATCACATTTATTTGATCTATGAAATGTCAGAAAATAGTGAAAAATGCCCATCACAAGTTCCTGGAGCCCAAGGTGAAGTCTTCAAGAGTTTGTTTTGTCCAAACAACAACTCAAAAAGACATTAAGTTTACTGTCATATAAAACCAAGAATCTTCACATTTGAGAGGCTGAAAGCAGCAGTTTATTTCTCTTTTTTTAAATGCATTTCTTAAAATGGTTAATCAATATAAATTTTCATTTCTAAGTTTTCATTGTTTCAGTTCAATTTATATTTAAATTATGACAGCATTGGGGCGTCCTGGCAGCCTTTAGGTTTAGGGGCCATACCGTTTAACCACAAATCCCTGGTTAAGTATTGCTCAGAACATATGTTGCATGTCACCCCCCTTGAACTGTGAGTGCAGTAAAGACAATAATGACTAATAATAACAATTTATAATAAAGGTATAGATTAATCTATCTTTATATTGTTAGTTGCAGCCCTGCTTTAGATGGATCTGTCTTTAGATCAGTCTAAAGTATAGGGCTACAATTCACAATCATTAATCAATTATTTGATTTATATTTTGGTCAAGAGTGGAATATGGCCCTTTGAACTTTAATTGAACTTTCTAAAGCCAACTGCATCTTATTAAGTGATTACCGGGGGAAGGGATGTCCCCAGTGAGGTTCTGGAGTTACACAAAGGTGGATGATCATTTTTATGTTTTTGTGGGATCCTGTAACACGGTGAAACTTTTGTAACAATTTTCTATATTCACTTCCATCTATATGCGGCTCTATCTGTTAATGTTCACTGGTCTAAAATGTTGGAATCTGTCTCTATGACAATTGTATAGCATGTAACATGTTTCTGTGTCCTGAAACAAAGTATGCAGCCCATGCCATGTCTATGCTATGCCTAAGCCGACATCCTCAAATTTACTATCACACGAGGCATAGAGAAGTAACAAATCCTCCATAAAACAATTATGAAGCTGGAGGGTTTGGAATTTTTGCTCAAAAGTGTAGTCACCTTTTAGCAATCAAAATATTTGCCAGTTAAAATTCTTTTAAAAATGAAACATTTCTGAAACTGTGACCTGTGGCCCATGGTATATAATGTCACCCAGGATAGCCTACATATTATGACCTATTTATTATCATTCTGTCCTGCCATTTTTCTTTTGAGAGTTGTCTTGAGTTTGGAATAACACTGTATATGGATAAATAAATAAGGGTGGTGAGAATGAAAAGCATGTTTGCAATAAACCTATTTTTTAAATTATTTTTTTTCTGGTATTATTAGGGACCCTTGGAACTCTCTTCTGGACTCCAGGAGGTATCCATGTCCCTGGAGTCCTCATATTTTTTCAGTTGAAATTCCTAATGTATTCTTGACAAACACAGCAGGAGCAACACAGACTGCTCTCTCTCGCTCTCTCTCTCTGTCACTATGACTCTCTATCAGCTGGGTGTATTCTCAGCGGACAGTGATGCTCACAACATAACAAGGCCTTTCTCCAGTCCCCCCCCCCCAGCCACCCACCCACTCACCCACCCCCCGGCGCGCTCTCTCTCTCCCCAGGTTCTCTCCTGTATCCCGTCTCCCCTCCTCTGCTGTGCACCTGCTCCTCCCCTCCTGCCTTATTATACTCAGACTCCGAGCAGCGCTCCGTCCTCGCCAAGTGATGCTCCTCGGCGGCGCACATCGGTGGGTTATCACCGCCCGCTGCAGGGAGGACCGCTCCGGCTTGTTTTTCTCCTCTGGAAACACGCACTGGAGGACGACAGGACATGGGAATTTAACTAAACTCGTCTGAGAGTGTGCTGGAGGAGGTTAGGACGACGAAGAAGCACTCAAGTCCCATCCTAGAGGAGAGAAGGGGACTCCGGGGAAAGGGTCCCGCCGGGACGTGGGAACGCAGCGGAAGGTTTTGTGCCTAACATAGTTTGAAATTGACTCAGGATGCCTGTTTTTGTTGTTTTGTTGTGAAGAATAAAATCTCAGGATTTAAAGGAAGGGGTTCTTGGAGTTCCAGTCGGTGCTTTTCTGTTTGTGATGGAGTGAGTGAAAGAGAGGGCACGGTAACTTCAGCCTCGCCATGAAATCAGTGTTTTTCAGCCGCTTCTTCATCCTGCTGCCCTGGGTCCTTATTGTCATCATTATGATCGATATCGACAGTAAAAGAACGATCCGGGCTCCAGCAGCCGGTCGGAACGGCAGGGCGCAGCGGGCGGCCCGGACCGGCGCACCAGGGGCAGGTGGCACCCAGAACCAGACCGCCCTGCCGGTTATCTACGCCATCACTCCCACTTACACTCGTCCGGTGCAGAAAGCGGAGCTGACCCGTCTGGCCCACGCCTTCCGCCAGGTGCCCCGGCTCCACTGGATCGTAGTGGAGGACTCGACGGCGCGCACTGAGCTGGTGGCGCGCTTCCTGGCCCGGTGCGGCGTGCCGTACACGCACCTGCATGTGTTCACTCCCCGCAGGTTCAAGCGCGCCGGGATGCCACGCGCCACCGAACAGAGGAATGTGGCTCTCGCGTGGCTCCGGCAGCACCGGAGCACACGGGACGCCGGGGTGGTTTTCTTTGCGGATGACGACAACACCTACAGCCTGGAGCTGTTTGAAGAGGTAACCCTATATTTAACACGTCAGCTGTGTTATTACTGTATGCTCCTCAGTTCCCCTGACCAAGAGCATCATGGGTGGAACTGGCCGACTATTCAGTCTGAACTGTAGCCTTACAGTAATACTTAAAGTTTTCACGGAGAAATATGCTGTCTGAAGTGTTTTAATTTGAAAACTATGAGGTGGAAACATAACCACGGAGTTTCACTGCATTGCTACTGGCTGATTTCATTTGAATAGGCTACCCTTTAAAACCAAGACAATAGCACTAGTGGAAAAGTACTCAAAACCTTACCTTAGAAATAGTATTAAGGTAAACAATACTCCATTCGGCTACACCTAAAAGTTACATTCAAAAGTTCCTTGCAAAATGTAAAATAAAAAGTAGGCCAGGCCTGTTGTCAGCAACCTTTAGGCTACACAATGTCACTTCTGAAAGAGGAAATAGCACATAGGCCTACTTTATTTTACAAATTAAAAGTCAACCTCATATCAAACACACCCCTTCAGATAGCTTGTGGTGTATAATGTTAGCTAATGTTAGCAAACCTTTATATTGTTGTGTTACTGATTTCACTGAGGCAGTTCTCTGTCTTTATGACTCGTCTGTACTTCCACTGCTGTTACACTACATTTTAGCATTTACCATTGTTTTATAATTGCCACCTGTGGCCACAGTAGAGCTACTGCCTTTCAGCAAAGGTTACATAGGCTTTGAAGTAGCTGTCAAAAGTGCTCATTATGCCCGGATGACCCCTTTCAGATTCATATTATTATATCTCTAGATAATTATTAATGTTGATGCATTAACATGTCAACAGCATTGTAATGGAGCTGGCGTACATGGAGGTTATTTTGACTACTTTACATACTGTTGTTTAACAGTACTGAATCATATCTTAATTGCTGATCATATGTGTGGTATGTAGAATCTTGACCTGTAAAGTAACTACCGACTGTAGTGACAGCCTTGATAAATCTCAGAGAAATCCCCCCACACAAATAGAGTTATGCATGTACTGTTTGAGCACCTTTTTGTTTGTGCCCGGCTCTAACACAGGAATTGTCTTTGTCAGGCGTTCCCCAAATGGGATCACTGGAATTCCAACGTTCAAACTCACTGGTTCTTCACGTTAATGGGATCCCACTGGAACCTTACTAAAAAACCCTGGGGAGGTTCCAAGAACCCCGTTTTGAGAGCCGCTCGTTTCAAGTGAGAGGCCGTTGTTAAACCAATGTATTCTGGTAGAGAAACGGATTGAACTACAGATGGTATTGAAGGAGTAATGTTCACAGAGAGAGCGGGAGTCGAGAGAAGGCTAAAGTGAGTGAGAGAAAAAAACAGATGAAGAGTCAGAAGTGCTGACTGACAGAACGAGAGATGAGAGAGACGGATGCTCCGTGGCGGTGCTGGTGCTCGGGGTGTTTGGATGCACCAGGGTTGCCAGTTCATTCAAATCTTTATCGCACCACCATCGCTGTCCAATTTTCTACAGAGCCACTCACCAGCACCGAATTAATAAGCACGACTGTGTGTGATTATTTTTGTTTGCTCTGGCTCGCTGTCTGTGTGTGAGTCCATACGAGGGTGAGATTGTTAGGGCTTGATAGCAATACTGGTCTTTTTGAATTGTATTAAACAATAGTTTTTTATTTTTCCAGTATCGATGTATTATATCGGCAAACTGATCCCTAACTCAAGTTTTCACATCACTGTTAATGATCAGTTGTCCCTTACATTCCAGACACACAGCCGTCCTCCAATACACCATGCTCTCTCTAAACATCTAGGAAACAAAGAAAGACGAGCCAATAGCAGAGGCAGAAGCAACTAAACAATCCTCTCATTCTCATAAATACACAAACGCTCTGAAAGAATGCTTCTCTGATTTCTGATTGCTCGCTCTGATTACTGCCATTCAAAGATAGCTGGTCCCAAACCTGAAATTGCTGTAATTTGCCCCAATAATAAAATGTTCAGAATGCAAAACACAAATTAGTTGATAACTCTGCACTGAATAATATAGCAAAAACCAAAGTAACATACTGTAATTTACCTGATTGTAACATTACACTATATATAAACTTTACTTCAGGGTGAATGACTTGGTGACTGGTAAGCTTTGATGTGGTTATCTCAGATGATTATTAACCTATTTCAAAATGCTGTGCGCTCCTTAACCTGAGCATTATATTGACCCTTTGCAAATGGTTACAACATGTTGATTTCAGAAGGCTTTTTCTTCAATTTTGAAAGCAATCTCCGCTTACACCTAAAATCTGTTCTTCAAATAGCAGGGAAAACTGAAGGTCTGTTTGTTGCAATTTCTTTGAGCTCTGTAGCTTTTCTTCTCCTTCTCCTGGTTTTGTTTGGACGCGTGAGAACAAAGCTTGATGAATGAAAACATGCATGTCGAACTATCGATTGATCGGACAATTTTTTTCCCTCGATCAATTGTTTCATTTACAAACTGTCGGGAAATATCAAGAAATGTCCATCACAATTTCCTTTGTCCAGCCAGAGGTCCAAAACCCAATAACAGTCACTTAACAATTATATAAAACATGTAAAAAAAAATCCTCAAATTTTAGAAACTGGAAACAATTAAATGATTGATCAATTATTGCAGTAGTTGCAGAATACTTTCCTACTAATCGATTCATCAATTAAACGTTTTAGCTCTAATGGATCTAACAAAAACAACGAGCTGAGGACAGTCTGGACTGTTGCTCTGTCCGTCATGCTAAGCTAAAGTTACAGACAAATGCCCCAAAGGTCTCTCTGATCAATCAAAATTCCGCTTTCGTTAGCATCACATGCTTGCTCTTGCTTGTCCCTAAATTGCATCCCCGAATGCAACACTTGGGTAAAAATCCTCTGTATTGTGAACCCGGTGTACTGTAGCTGAGTCTACCCTGACACATAGTCTCAGTGTTAGATTATGTGCCTGCAGCTCAGTGTTAAGAGCATCTGTTTGATTTGTTGATAGCACACTGTCTTTTCTCTGTCCTCCCGCCTATTTCATTACCCAGCTCCTCTGTGCAGGTAATGGCCTGTCATAGAGAGATAATAGGCTGTCATACAGCAGTAATAACCTGCAGAAACCGTCTGCAGGCTTTAGACTGATGGCAGAAACTATGCTTATAGTGTGTGGCAGCTTCATATAATAAACCTTATGTCATTTCAGGAAGTTAACATTTTTGCAACTAAAATATTATTTTACTCTGACCTTTTGGAATAATATTTCTTATAGTAATCCGTTGTGAGTTTTTCATGTGATGCCAGCAGTGGTTTTGTAAAAATAGGCATTAAAGGATAAATTTGGATTTTCTCAAGCCCGTCTTAATACAATACTGCCATATTTACATGGCAGGAGTTGTGGGTTTCCATACTGGCAATAAAGCAAAACCCTCATAACAAAACCCAGAGTCCTTGTCCTATTTTATTTCCCCTGTCCACTGTAGCCTGTCATTCTTCCAGGGGGAAGTTGGGGGGGGTCATTTTTAGGGGGCGGGCCACTCCCCCAAAACAATGGGAGCTGAAACACTGAGATGTGTTGTGTTCTGGTAAAAAACCTACATTCCTCCAACATTATTTGTGGAGCACAGAATTGTACTAAAAAATATTGTGACATTGGAAGATCTCAGCTTGATCTGTCTAACTCAAATGAAGGCATCTTGTTTCACGGTCAGTAAAGAGACCACAGCGACCAATACCTCTTTCAGTACACATAAAGCATGTGAGTAATGTACTATATTAACATAGATTTTTTAAAACCCAACTCTATACATTATACACTGATAGTCTGAGTAAACTCTATAATCGAAAGTAAATATAGTTTTCCATTGTATGATTCTTTATTTACCAGGGCCAATACACATGAATCAACATCCTAGTTAGACTTCAACGTAAACGATCCGGAGTTAGCTAAATAGCTCATTTTCATCCGTGGTCCCTGAGCATGTTATAACTACTTAGTGTCTAAAATCATCAGTACAGTGCTTCAACAAGTACTGCAATATATTGTTGCGCCTTAACCTCTGCAACAAGTATTCAAGGAATTTTATTTAAACCAATTTTACCATTCCGTTAGCTATTGTAGAGCAAAAGCTAAGGCATTTCTGACCTGCAGTTGCCCAATTATCAAATTCGGAACTCCAGCTGGGGCAAAATCAGCCTCATGCTTCTGACTCTGGGTTGTTGATTACATAAAAGTAGCTACCCAGGCTGTTTATCTCCAAGAGCGGGCTACAAATTACTGCAGAGCAATGAGCAAAATCCCCCCCTTATGAAAAAAACATATGTAGCAAATGTTTAACAGGCCTCGCTGCTCGCTGCTTCCTCTCTGGCAGCAGAGTCAGAGTGAAACGTCAGCTGGAAAGGCATTTAGCATTAAGACAAAAGTTAAAGGGTGCATTCTCTGTTTCCGTACATTAGCCAGCTCTCATTGTGGCACGGTTTATTATGCACGCGTTCCAGCTGAGTCGCCTCTTAGCAGTCAATAGGGTGTCAGAAAACACAAGACTTCTCATTTAATGCCGCCCATGCACTTACACCTTGATTGCCCCCAGAATAAGGGAATTGTTGTAGTGTTCCCATAGCACAGTAGAAGGATTTCTCAAGTGAGGGATAATATTTTACTTCGGCAGTCCAGTAACATCAATAGTTCTCTGATGCTCAATGCAGACTCCTGCTTTTCACAGATCAAGGGATTGTGATACTATATTGTGAGATACAAATTTGTAAATAGCACCTAATGCACAATGTCAGTTTATTATAACTTGGTTGTTATTCTTGTAGTTTGTTATGATTCCTACTGGTAGTGATAACGTAACAACCAAGTTCATTTGTGAAAAAAATCACAAAATATGGCAAGAAATATGAGCAGTAAGACCCCATTTACCCTTACCCACTTCATGTGTGTTGGGTAGATTTGATCTTAAAAAAAGTTAAGCATAAATGAAACCAAGAGGCATTCAAGACAGATTCAAACTGGATTGCT